CATTCATAAAAGTGACATTAAAAACAATCAACATTACAATATAAAACATATATTAAAACCGTGAAAGCATATAATCATCGGCGTCATCCCGTTAAAAACGTTATCCAGTAACATCGTCTGGCCATTCCATATTCATCATTCATAGTTCCGTGTCATCTATTCCGCTGTATTCTCAAAAGCTTGCTCAAAGAGCCAGGTCTTTACTTTTTTTCGGAAAGTCAGGAGGGAGGGGGCCAATCTAATATCCCTGGGGAGAGAGTTCCATAGCTGCGGGGGGTCACCACTGAGAAGGCCCTGTCCTTCGTCTCTGCCAATTGCACTTGCGAGGCAGGCGGGATCGAGAGCAGGGCCTCCTCAGATGATCTTAAGTTCCTAGATGGTTCGTAGGAGGAGATATGTTCGGACAGGTAAGCTGGGCCAGAATTGTTTGGGGTTTTATAGGCTAAAGCCAGCACCTTATAGGTTCACTTTATAGTTGCCTTAAATTGGAAATGGCTTGGTATAAAACAACAACAGCAATGTTAGAAACCTCCAGTGCTTGCTTTGTTGAGAAAAGGCAATTGTTTAATGTATGGAACATTCAAACATGGTATTGACTTCTCCTCCTCCACTACCAGTAATGGTGCACTCCAAAGATCGCCTTACGTTTGAACACTTAAATTGGCTTAGATAATATTTGTGTCCATGAAAAACACCAGAATCTTTTGTTTTGCTTTTTCATCATTGACAAAAATCTACAGTAGCCTAGAGATTTAAAGTCCATCCGTATATTCACCATGTCTGCTGTAAATAAAAATGTTTAAGACCAAAGTTTACCAGATAGCTGCCAAGCGATTGTAGGCTTTGGCAAGGATTTCTTATTGCTCTCCTGTGCTGGGAACTGCCAGGAGGTTCCGCCAAGCAAATCTCTCTTGGCTCAAAGTGGGTGCTAAACTCCAGGGTTGCAGACAAGATTCCAGAGAAGCAATGTGAAACGTCTGGTGCCAGGCCCGTTGGGGAAGTGAAAATAATGGGATTAGGCTTCTGTTTGGGTTCCTTTGGGGACACTTTGCTTGCATGTCTACAGTTTTGAGTCTGCTCTAAAAGAAAACAGTAATTCCCTAGACTATATAATTGTTTTTCTTTTTAAATTTAACATGTGCTGCTGTTAATTGTTTTTGGAACAAATTGTGTTATCAGAAGTTCAGCAGATGTGTTACCCCAAGACCCCACTCTGGCTATCCCCATTAGAAGCCCATCAGAGGAAAGAACTAGGGTGGGGTGTCTGGCCAACGTACAATGATCTTCTAACCAGGGAGAGAAAGGAGATTAAAATAAAATCCCAGGAGGAACTAAAAAGTCAGCATGATAACATCACTTGGCTTCAACATTGGCAGCTTAAAGAATATTTTAAGAAAGAGTACCAAGCTGGATTTATGGGCAAAGAAACGGCCTGGGATAGACTACTGAACAACCCGAGGAAATATATCACAAAAACTTCTAAGCTTCTACTCGACTGGTCAACAGAAGAAGAACGGATCAAGGAATATATGATCAAGTGGGCGAGAATAATAGGAAGGTCGATATCACTAGAAGAGTGGAATGCAATATGGAATAAAAAAGCTAATTATTCATACTCTTACGACATTAAAGAACACTGGATCAAGATGATACATCAATGGTACTTAACTCCAACCAAACTAGCAAAATTCTCTAAGCATATGTGCAACAAATGTTGGAAGTGTGGAGAGGAAGAAGGGACTTTTCAACATATGTGGTGGTCTTGCAAGAAGATAAGACCTTATTGGAAAATAATTCAAGACAGATGTCAAAAAATACTAAAGAAGAACGTGCCTCTAAAACCGGAATGCTTCTTGCTAGGCTTAACGGATAAGACATGGGACAAAGAAACAGATAAAATATTCATGTACTTAAAAACAGCTGCCCGCATACTGTTGGCTAAAGTTTGGAGACAAAAAACTATTCCAACGGAGGAAGATTGGATAGAAAAGATAATAGATATGATAAATATGGACCACTTAACATACATTCTATCAACCGCTCGTAGTATGCCTGTATCACCAACAAACTGGTCTCCTGTAAAGGCGTGGCTTAGGGAAAGGAAGACAATGCTGTATATATGTTAACAACAAATAGTATGAGGTTAAGAATGTTTTAGGAAAACAAATAGTGAAAATAAAAAGCAGGATATGAATAAGCAAGAGATGATACCAACGATAGATACCTGGGGGTAAAATGGTATACTTGCCTACATGTGGGAATAAACTTGTATATGTGCATACTATTATGTAAGGAAAGATAGACTGCGAACATACAGCACAATATGAAATAGACTGGAAAATATTATATAAGAAGAATGTAGAACCTTCTGAACCAATTGATGTAATACCATAATAGAGAGAGGAGGAGGTCTAAGGTCCATATGGACCCCTTTTTTAGTTTTTAGATAGACATTGTTTGTAGTGTATGTCGTAGGTATGCCTGCTGTTAGTCTAGAGAGGATGGATGTCTGGGTGTAATTGTTTGTAGTTTTTATGTGTCTCACTTTATATTATTGTACTAATAAAATTCAATAAAAATTATTATAAAAAAAAGTTCAGCAGACGTGGAATTCGATACAAAAAAAACTTGTTGGTTCAGGATCAAAGTTTCATCTCTCTGATACTGGATCCAGTTCTCCAAAGTCATTGAACTGAAAACTAAAGGAGATGCTTCCTGTCCAGTAATGATGTTATATAGTGTGCCGTCGCACCTGGGGGCTATAATTCTTAATGAAGGAGGCATGGCTGTTTCAGTGTGCCTTCCCTGAATAAAGGAAACAATTCTCTGCAAATATCCTGAGAAGCACTTTACCCGTTGGGTTGTTCTTTACATTTCGTTTAAAACCCTCTTACTAGATACACCCTCTGTACATGTCCAGCATTTATTTTAAAGTTTTAACTATTACATCTGGCCTGGCCATAGGTTTTTAAATACTTGCGTGTTACAGTCTATGTATGAGTTATATTAATTGTATTGCTTATTTTACTTATTCCCTGTTGTTTTTATTGATGTGTTGTTGTTGGGCTTGGCCTCATGTAAGCTGCTCTGAGTCCCTTGGGGAGATGGTGGCGGGGTATAAATAAAGTTTTTTAAAAATTATTATTATTATTATTATTATTATTATTATTATTATTATTATTATTATTATAGTCTCCTTCCAGTTGCAACAGAGGACCTTGGGATTCCTAGGGAGAACATATTTACAAAAATCAAACCCACAAATGTGTAGGGCCAATTATAGTTTAAAAGTTACTTACAGTTAAGAGAGAAGAGGTATAGCCTCATGTAGGATATTATTATAGCCACATTGAATTCCACGTCTGCTGTCAGACTGCTGTTTAAGAATTATAGTTGTTCTGCCCAATTGATATGCTGAGAATAATTTATTTATTTATTTATTATTTACTTTATTTATAGACCGCTGTTCTCAGCCCGAGGGCGACTCACAGCGGTGTACAACATGAAAGCAACACTATTCAAAACACGATAAAAACAATTCACAACATTATACAAAAAACAGTAACATCATTTCTACAAAAACCATTCCGCGTTGTCTCATCGTCCAAACCACAATCCTATGTCGTATTTCATTATTCCGTTCCTATAGTCATTGCCAATCATTGCACTTCTTGTTCGAATGCCTTCTTAAACAACCAGGTTTTTAATTTCCTGCGGAAAATTATTAGAGAAGGGGCCAGTCTGATGTCCACGGGAAGAGTGTTCCACAGCCGAGGAGCCACCACCGAGAAGGCCCTCTCTCTCGTCCCCGCCAGCCGTGCTTGTGAAGCTGGTGGGATCGAGAGCAGGGCCTCCCCGGAAGATCTCAAAGTCCTGGTGGGTTCGTAGGTAGAGTTGCGGTCGGATAGGTATCTTGGGCCGGAACCGTTTAAGGCTTTATAGGCCAACGCCAGCACCTTGAATTGGGCCCGGTAGCAAATCGGCAGCCAATGGAGCTGGTACAACAAGGGGGTGGTATGCTCCCTGTGTCCGGCTCCTGTTAGTATCATGGCTGCAGCACGTTGGACCAATTGTAGCTTCCGGGCCATCTTCAAAGGCAACCCCACGTAGAGAGCGTTGCAGTAGTCTAAACGGGATGTAACCAGAGCGTGGACTACCGTGGCCAAGTCAGACTTCCCAAGGTACGGGCGCAGCTGGCGCACGAGCCTTAGCTGTGCAAATGCTCCCCTGGTCACCGCCGAAACCTGGGGCTCCAGGCTCAGCGATGATAATGTCATTGGCACCTATTCAATAATGTCATTGCCACCTATTCAGAGTAAGAGCAATGAAAGGGAAGTATTTACTTCCCTTGTACTCTTCAGTAATTCAGCCATACAAACCAATTAGCCTGAAAAATGTGGTATGTATAGACAAGTTTGTTTTTTCCACACATTAACACATGATATGTATGATAGTCTGGAGGCACCAAATATGGTGACATGGCCAAGCTTGGTTTCAGATTCCCAAAGAGTTTGTTGATTTAATAGGAACGAAAATATTTCTTAAAAAAATAGTCTGGATTGTTGCAGAGCTTCAAAAGATACCGCTGATGTGAATTACTAAAGGTTCCTTGCTTCTAGCCAAGAGACGAAGTAAAAGTGGACGATCATTGAGGGATCCAATAACCTCTAGGTCTGTTTACTATGGACTGCAGCAAAGAGATGCCCAAATGCAATTTTGGGAAGACAGTCATAACATTGCTATTATGTAATAAGTAGGTGGAATAAATAGTTTCTTAATGGTGTCTAGCCATGCAAACAGTGAACTTGATGATCAATGGTGTTTCTGCTTTTTCTCCCACTCCAGAAGCTCTGGTATTTAGAGATGGTTATTAATACTCTGCTGTGTACAAGAGATGGGAGGAAGGGAAAAAATGGCTCGTATTCCATGTGTTGAACTTTCCTATAACAATAATACATTTTCTTATTGTTCTTTCATTGTGTTTTCCTCTCATTTCCTAGGCAGGTCTGATCCGAACAGACAACGGTGAATTTTTTATTGAGCCTATGGAGCGAGGACAATGGGCGATGGAGAAGAATGGGAGAGCCCATGTGGTCTACCGCAGGTCTGCTGTCAAACGAGACAGACCAGAAGCATTCAAGGACCATCGTAATGAAGGTACAATCATGTCTTCCTGTTGTTTCATGTGCCTTAAAACCACGTTGATTCATCTTATTTCCTCCCATATCCACCCCAGATTGGGTTTGCACAGAGGAAATGAGTTTTGCTTCCACAATCTCAGGGCAGAAAGAGACATTTAGTGCCAAACAGAACTTCTGTCAAGGTGCTGTAATGGTTCTTGTCCAGATGCTGCCATTTCCTCACATTCTTCATCTATCTAACATCTGCTTGTCTGAAAATATGAACTTAGTGTCTGCTAAACTGTTCCTACTGGAAAAACACGTATCTTCTTTTTCTTATATGTATACCCCACATTTTCCCCTTAGTTTTCTGGTTTCCTTTTCTGTACATACACTGATCGTTGCTTTGAGATATATTATTTATTTATTACAGTATGTATATTCGGCCCTTCTCACCCCGCAGAGGACTTAGGGTGGATTACAATGTACATATACATGGCAAACATTCAACGCCATAGACACACAACATATATAGACAGACACACAGAGGCTATTTAACATTCCAGCTTTTTCATGAGAGTATTCTGGCCACCAGAGGAGCTGTCGCTTCACCGTCCATTTGTGACACTGATGAAGTACTTCCTCATACTTTGCATGCTTGCTGGAAATTTTTATGGTGTCATAAATAAGCTATAATGTAACTATAGTGGAAGCAGGGACAAGGCATATACAGATTACCTCCACATTTTGTAGAGATAGGAGTTTTCCCACTTCTTTAAACTAGAAAAAATGTAACTATAGTGGAAGAAGGGCTTCTCAGACTTTGCTGTTGGGAGCTTCCCTGCAGTTGCCACCTCACCCCCATCCAAAGCAATTCTGTTCCTAATATATATTGCGCTTGGAATGTAATTTGCACACTTTGCCCTGCCTGTTTTTTTTCTCTGTATGTTGAAAAACATATGTTAGAGCTGAGTTGGAAGTCATCAGAACCTCCAGATTGTGGGACTGTATCTCCAAGCATTAATCACTTTTGCTGCTGCCACCTTGTATTGTTGGGATAGCATTTAATTAATACCTCTTTGTTAGATATCAGAGCAATTACTATCTATTGAATAGGAATAACAAGTTATGTTCTTAACTTTTCTAGTTCCAGGTTTCAGCTTGGGTCAGCTTCCAAACAGTCTGAACCTGGTTGAAGAGCAGGTTGGTGAAGCAGATCGAAAGAGGCGCCATGCCAAGAAAGATGATTACAACATAGAGGTTCTGCTGGCCGTGGATGATTCAGTTGTACGGTTCCATGGGAAGGAGCACGTCCAGAATTACGTCCTCACCCTCATGAACATAGTGAGGCTCTTTCTTATAACTTTTGGTTCTTATGGATGGGGGCAGGAGGCGAGAAATGAGTGAGTGTGATCTGCATGCGATGTCTTTATTCTGTTTGGATATTATGCTTTGGTGGGATGGATTATGAATTTATATGAAATATTTATAGCCTGCTTTTCATAATGTCCTATGTTGGTTCTCTGAGGGCCCTTCCACACAGCTGTATAAAATCCACATTGAACTGGATTATATTTATTTATTTATTTATTTTGTGTACTTCTACCCCGCCCTTCTCAACCTCCGAGGGGGGACTCAGGGCGGCTTACAAACAGGCACAATTTGATCCCTACACAATAATACAAAAACATATAAAAACAGCAATTAAACAGTTGTAACAATTAAAACAATTAACACAATCAATATATATCACAATCAATAAACCAATCTCATGCTCAGCATTCGCCAACTCAGAGTCCGTACTTCAATCCACGTTGTCTATTCCTATCCGTCGTCGTAGTCCTTTATTTATCTGCCAGATTGCCCAAACGCCTGGTCCCAAATCCAAGTTTTTAATTTCTTTCTAAAGGAAAGGAGGGATGTCGCTGATGTAATTTCCCCGGGGAGTGAATTCCATAGGTGAGGGGCCACCACTGAGAAGGCCCTGCTCCTTGTCCTCACCAATCTCACTTGTGATAGAGGCGGGGCCGAGAGCAGGGCCTCCCCAGAAGATCTTAAACTCCGAGGTGGGACGTAGAGGGAGATCGTTCGGACAGATACGTCGGGCCGGAACCGTATAGGGTTTTGTAGGTCAAAACCAGCACTTTGAATTGTGCTCGGAATTGGATCGGCAGCCAGTGGAGCTGACATAGCAGAGGGGTGGTATGCTCCCTGTATGACGCTATATGGCAGTGTGGATTCAGATAATTCACTTCAAAGCAAATATTGTGGATTATCTGCCTTGATCTTCTGGATTATATGGCTGTGTGGAAGGGCCCTAAGCTGTTCTTTTTCATGGGTGTGTTTTGAACTGCTTCGAAGTCCATAAATAATTTCATTTTTTTTAAAAAAAATGCATGATATCAAGGTTTTTAGCTGTATCTTGAGAAACCACTTGGAGAAAAGGCAGAATGACAACAATAACATCAGCTATTCATTGGCAGCAAAATCGGGAGAGGCTCAGGGAAATCTCTTACTAAGATGAAAAATGAAGAGAGTCCAGTTGGATGTTTGCACGTCATGGTAGCATTCGAAGTTTCTAGAGGAGGTGTATCTCAGTGTTGAAAAGGGAAAGAAGGCAGGAATACAAACACAGAAGGGAACAACTGAACTAGAAGGGTAGACTGGAGAAAGCCATTTCTGATGGTGGTTGTTCCCTTATCCCAGGGGTCCTCAAACTAAGACCCGGGGGCCGGATACAGTCCTCCAAGGGCATTTACCCGGCCCTTGCTCAGGGTCAACCTAAGTCTGAAATGACTTGAAAGGTCACAGTAACAACAATCTTATCTCATCAGCCAAAAGCAGGCCCACACTTGCCATTGAAATACTAGTAAGTTTATATTTTTTTAAAATTGTTCTTCATTTTAATTATTGTATTGTTTTTAAGTGTTTTTTGCACTACAAATAAGATATGTGCAGTGTGCATAGGAATTCATTCATGTTTTTTTAAAAATTATAATCCGGCCCTCCAACAGTTTGAGGGACTGTGACCTGGCCCTCTGTTTAAAAGGTTTGTGGACCCCTGCCTTATCCTGTCAAATTCCCTGGATAATAAAATCAGAAATTGATCAGAAATTCCCCAAAGATCTAATACTATTGGATTTTCAATTTATATTTAAAAACCAGTCATGTTCATTCAATATATTTCCTTTATTGGCTTGACAATACTTTGTACCCATATCAAATAACATTTTTAGGCATGTTAATAAGTTTTTAATTGTTTTTATTTTAAAAATATGAAGCATTTCCAAATAAAATTAAAACATCTCACACTAAGGAAATGTGGGGGGTGAGGGGAAGAAACCAAAGGGAATAAAAAAGAATATAGGGATAGAAAAGTAATTATTAGTTAGTTGTACCTTTACTGATGTCTGATGTGTCGCAAAGAAAGAACACAAAAAGTGTGGGTTGTAGGAGCAGGAGGGGTTCTTATACAAAATTATCATTGTTACAACTAAATCATATCTATTCCATTGACACACATTACATAAGATATTGAAGATTCTAACAAATCTAGTTTTAAGTCTAGTGGTTGTATCTTCTTTGTTCAAAGTTACTCTTAATTATTCTTGAAAGGTTATTTTATTTGAATCTTTTCCTCTATTGATTATTATCTTAAAAAAGAAAATTCTATGAATTTCATTCAAACTGTTAGTAGATTAGTATTCTATAGACAAACATTTACTGTACATCGTTATATCATTATCATGCTTGCTCTCGATTTGTATTACACCAAACCTATATAATTTTGTATGACCAATCCATTTTTGCGGGATCCTTCCCAATCTTATTAGTTGATACTAATAGAGAAGAATTAGAATTAAAGAAGTCTAAGGGGGATAAGAAAAAAGCAAAACAAGAGTTAGCCAAAGTTCAGCAGCAATATGAATTATTCTTATCAAATGAATTAGAAAAGAAAATTATGTATAATAGGCATAATTTTTTTGAAAATGCTAATAAACCGGGCAGGCTCTTGGCATGGCAAGTGAAAGATCATAGGAAGAGACCACTAATAGCAAAGATAAGGCACAAAGGAGAGACAATTACGAACATAAGAAAAATAATTTTTTTGAAGATTATTATAGAAACCTCTATAAAAATAATCAATCAGATATTAAAAAATAGACCAATACCTAGCGGACATGAAGGTCACCAAATTCACAGAAGATATTAAATCAGACCTGGACAGACAAACAACATGGGAAGAATTGAATTCAGCCATAGATAAAGCTAAATTAAATAAAGCCCCAGGTCCAGATGGATTCTCCGCTATGTTTTACAAGGTGTATAAAGAAGAATTAGGCCCATAAGTCAAAATGTCTTATATTTTAGGTGGTTGCCTAATGCAAAATACAAATGCATATATCAAATAGTAATAACATTCTCAATTCATAATTCTTGAGTTCCCACTCTTCCTGACTCTTATATATCTTCATTTAAAGTAAACCCAAATTTTTCATGCCTCAAATATTAAACCCTAATTTAATTTGTCCAATTTGGTCATGTCAAAGACTCTGTCTAGTTATCTAACAACAAAACATTTAGCATTACAGTTTTTTAATAGTCCATTTTTGTAGGCTCTCCCAAATAGCTTCTGAAGACCAAGTATCTTGAACTTCTCATGCCTGAAGATATAATAGCTACTTCTCTAGAAGTTTAATTCCTTCTAACTCATTCAACATTTGCCTCCAGGTTTTAACTGTTTATTTCTAATAGTTTTAATGTTTAATCCTATTTTAATGTTTGTATGTTTTAGGGTTTAAACTGTATATTGTTTTTAGTGTTGTATAGTGTATACAAAGCAGATTTAACGGTCTGCCTTAGTTTGACTCTCAAGCTTGTCTACCACACAAATGTAAATACAAAACACAATCTGTATCCATATAAATTTGGAAGTTTAAGGTGCTGTGATTTGGAAACCTGCCTTCAGAGTTCATTATTTTGTTCATTAGCTGGTCTAAACGGTAGAGTTTTCTTTTTTCCTTGACTCTTGTTTCCCCCTTCCTGCTCTATTGGTGTGTTGCATGATGTCATTTTTTGGCTTGGGGGGTGGGAGGTGGGATGGCCTGAGAAGCTCAAAATTGTCAGGTTTAATCAAAAGCTTTATTTTCAACACCATTTCATGGTTTATACTCAGCAGGGAATGCTTTTCACTTTGTGAATGTTCAGGATGCTGTGGAGGGAACCAAAAGAGGGGCAACTCTCTTTTCAGATGGAAAAAGACCCATTGGAGAGCTTAATGAGCTAAAAGAAAAGATCAATAAAGTAGGGAAACAAGACCTCTTGGGGGGAAGATGCAAAATGAATACTTTACCAAAGCATTATTTCCTTCATCAGCCTCCAGACAGACCTTTTTCTTCCCCCTTTTCTTTGTCCCCACTTCTAGTTCTGACACTTTCTTTTTGAGGTCTTGTCAGGTCTCCTCCACTCAGGGAGCAACACCCACAGTCTCATAGCCTCACTCCACTAGTTATCCATCATTGCTGGTGACCTTTTGAGAAGCTTCTTTTTAGATTGGACTCCCACCGTGCCATGACGTCAACAGGGGGGGGGGCACGGTGCACTTCAAAAACGCATTTGGCGCTAGACGGTTGCCCAAACAGCTTTCCTCAGCCTGTCTTCCTTTTGTATCAGAGTTACTACCAAAATGGGGTTTTCTTTTAAAGTGAGGAAGAATAAAATAGAAATGAAGCAGAATAATTTTAAGGAGATACAAAATGTGACATGAGAGCCAGCATGGTGTAGTGGTTTGAATGTTGGACTTCAGCTTTGGAGACCAGGGTTCAATTCTCCCCTTGTCTGTGGAAACCCATTTGGTGAGCTTGGGATAACCATCCAGTTTCAGCCCCGGAAAACTGTGATAGGTTTGTTTTAGGGTCTTCATAAGTGAGGAATGACTTAAAGGCACACAGCAACAACAAGAACAACAACATTGGTATACAAGTAATTAGAGAGGAGGTTGATGCTTCTTAATGTCTTGCATGGTAGTAGTAGTAGTAGTAGTAGTAGTAGTAATAATAATAACAATAATAATAATAATATTTTTGCCGCCTCTGTAGTTGTTTTGCTTCCAGTTGCCCTGGTTGCTCAGCAGTGGGTCCTGGTTCCTGTAGCCCACTTGTTGACAGGTGACCAGGAGAAGCACTCACCATGGTCCTTATTATCCTGGGCGATGACCGAGCCAGTATAGACTTCTTTAGAGTTTGTTTCACCATATTTAAATGGGTTGGGTGCACTTAGTTCTACTTCTCCATTAAGGCCACTCTGGCTTGGTTGAACCTGCTGGTAGTTTACACTACCCCCAG